TCAAACCTCGGTGACAGTTAAAAAAATTGAAATTTAATAATTGAGACAACATATCCATATCAAGACAATTTCAGTTACATCAAAGTATTACAATGTTTTCTTTTTTCAATTTCATATTTTAACGAACATCTCTATACATTTATTTAGACTAATCGTAAAAGATGTAGTATGCACTTTTTTCTTTAGTAATTACCAAACAGTTTTCTCCCAGCTTATCTCAGTCATTCTTTTTGTGCCCTGACGGAAGCACACAGAGGGTTTAATTCTTAACATGGGAGGAAGCTGGAGTATCCGGAGAAATTCCGCGTGGTCGGGCAGGTGACCGGGATTGAATCCGGCCATCTTGGTGAAGACGAGCGCGCTATCAACTGCGCCACCGACCCATCATATACGTTACGCACAAGAACAAATATCTGCTTCAGCTTTGACTGGAAGAAAATGGCGTCATTGATCCAAAATTTATATTGTGAATACATTTTTACCAATCATCAATGATATAAAAAATCTACATATGGGAGACCGGAGCAAGTTCGGCCATCCCTGATATTTTTGTTTTTGAGCTAATATTTACAAGTTTAAGGATCTTAGCAGTTTAGTTGGCTAGGCATTCAACGACGAAAAAATGGCGAGGAAAACTCTAATGTAAAATGACTTAACAGGAGAAAACATTTTTGAGAGGGTAGAATATGGGAACTTTTTAAAACGGAATTGCTACTTTTTAACAGTCAAACGTGTAAGAAATTTACAGCTTCAAGTGATAATACATAAAAGCCAATCACTCACTACCATGTTGCTGTACGACAAGTGATAATACAAAAAAGCCAAGCCAATCATTCACTTCCATGTTGCTGTACGACAAGTGATAATAAATAAAAGACAAACCAATCACTACCATGTTGCTGTACGACAAGTGATAATACATAAAACCCAAGCCAATCACTCACTACCATGTTGCTGTACGACAAGTGATAATATAAAAAAGCCAAGCCAATCACTCACTACCATGTTGCTGTACGACAAGTGATACTACATAAAAGCTAAGCCAATTACTCACTTCCATGTTGCTGAACGACAAGTGATAATACAAAAAACCCAAGCCAATCATTCACTTCCATGTTGCTGTACGACAAGAGATAATAAATAAAAGACAAACCAATCACTACCATGTTGCTGTACGACAACTGATAATACATAAAAGTCAATCACTCACTACCATGTTGCTGTACGACAAGTGATACTACATAAAAGCTAAGCCAATTACTCACTTCCATGTTGCTGAACGACAAGTGATAATACATAAAACCCAAGCCAATCACTCACTACCATGTTGCTGTACGACAAGTGATAATGCATAAAAGCCAAGCCAATCACTCACTACCATGTTGCTGTACGACATGTGATAATACAAAAAAGCCAAGCCAATCACTCACTACCATGTTGCTGTACGACAATTGATAATACAAAAAAAGCCAAGCAAATCACTCATTACCATGTTGCTGTACGACAAGTGATACTACATAAAAGCTAAGCCAATTACTCACTTCCATGTTGCTGTACGACAAGTGATAATACATGAAAGCCGATCACTCACTTTCATGTTGCTGTACGACAAGTGATAATACATAAAAGTCAAGCCAATCTAAGCCAATTACTCACTTCCATGTTGCTGAACGACAAGTGATAATACATAAACCCCAAGCCAATCACTACCTTGTTGCTGTACGACAAATGATAATACATAAAAGCCAAGCCAATACAATTGATAATACAAAAAAAGCCAAGCAAATCACTCATTACCATGTTGCTGTACGACAAGTGATACTACATAAAAGCTAAGCCAATTACTCACTTCAATGTTGCTGTACGACAAGTGATAATACATAAAAGCCAGGCCAATCACTCACTACCATGTTGCTGTACGATAAGTGATAATACAAAAAAAGCCAAGCAAATCACTCATTACCATGTTGCTGTACGACAAGTGATACTACATAAAAGCTAAGCCAATTACTCACTTCCATGTTGCTGTACGACAAGTGATAATACATAAACGCCAAGCCCATCACTCACTTCCATGTTGCTGTACGACAAGTGATGATACATAAAAGCCAAGCCAATCACTCACTTCCATGTTACTGTACGACAAGTAATAATACATAAAACCCAAGCCAATCACTACCATGTTGCTGAACGACAAGTGAAAATACATAAAAGCCAAGCCAATCACTCACTACCATGTTGCTGTACGATAAGTGATAATAAAAAAAAGTCAAGCAAATCACTCATTACCATTTTGCTGTACGACAAGTGATACTACATAAAAGCTAAGCCAATTACTCACTTCCATGTTGCTGTACGACAAGTGATAATACATGAAAGCCAATCACTCACTACCATGTTGCTGTACGAAAAGTGATGATACATAAAAGTCAAGCCAATCACTCACTTCCATGTTACTGTACGACAAGTGATAATACATAAAACCCAAGCCAATCCCTACCTAGTTGCTGTACGACAAATGATAATACATAAAAGCCAAGCCAATCACTCCCTACCATGTTGCTGTACGACAAGTGATAATATATAAAAGCCAAGCCAATCACTCACTACCATGTTGCTGTACGAAAAGTGATGATACATAAAAGTCAAGCCAATCACTCACTTCCATATTACTGTACGACAAGTGATAATACATAAAACCCAAGCCAATCCCTACCTAGTTGCTGTACGACAAATGATAATACATAAAAGCCAAGCCAATACAATTGATAATACAAAAAAAGCCAAGCAAATCACTCATTACCATGTTGCTGTACGACAAGTGATACTACATAAAAGCTAAGCCAATTACTCACTTCAATGTTGCTGTACGACAAGTGATAATACATAAAACCCAAGCCAATCCCTACCTAGTTGCTGTACGACAAATGATAATACATAAAAGCCAAGCCAATCACTCCCTACCATGTTGCTGTACGACAAGTGATAATATATAAAAGCCAAGCCAATCACTCACTACCATGTTGCTGTACGACATGTGATAATACAAAAAAGCCAAGCCAATCACTCACTACCATGTTGCTGTACGACAATTGATAATACAAAAAAAGCCAAGCAAATCACTCATTACCATGTTGCTGTACGACAAGTGATACTACATAAAAGCTAAGCCAATTACTCACTTCCATGTTGCTGTACGACAAGTGATAATACATGAAAGCCAATCACTCACTACCATGTTGCTGTACGACAAGTGATAATACATAAAACCCAAGCCAATCACTACCTTGTTGCTGTACGACAAATGATAATACATAAAAGCCAAGCCAATCACTCACTACCATGTTGCTGTACGATAAGTGATAATAAAAAAAAGTCAAGCAAATCACTCATTACCATTTTGCTGTACGACAAGTGATACTACATAAAAGCTAAGCCAATTACTCACTCCCATGTTGCTGTACGACAAGTGATAATACATAAACGCCAAGCCCATCACTCACTTCCATGTTGCTGTACGACAAGTGATAATACCTAAAAGCCAAGCCAATCACTCACTACCATGTTGCTGTACGACAAGTGATAATACAAAAAAAGCCAAGCAAATCACTCATTACTATGTTGCTGTACGACGAGTGATACTACATAAAAGCTAAGCCAATTACTCACTTCAATGTTGCTGTACGACAAGTGATAATACATAAAAGCCAAGCCAATCACTCACTACCATGTTGCTGTACGACAAGTGATGATACATAAAAGTCAAGCCAATCGGTCACTTCCATGTTACTGTACGACAAGTGATAATACATAAAACCCAAGCCAATCACTACCATGTTGCTGTACGACAAGTGATAATACAAAAAAGCCAAGCCCATCACTCACTTCCATGTTGCTGTACGACAAGCGATAATACATAAAAGCCAATCACTCACTTCCATGTTGCTGTACGACAAGTGATAATACATGAAAGCCAATCACTCACTTTCATGTTGCTGTACGACAGGTGATAATACATAAAAGCCAAGCCAATCACTTACTACCATGTTGCTGTACGACAAGTGATGATACATAAAAGTCAAGCCAATCGGTCACTTCCATGTTACTGTACGACAAGTGATAATACATAAAACCCAAGCCAATCACTACCATGTTGCTGTACGACAAGTGATAATAAAAAAAAGCCAAGCCAATCACTCATTACCATGATGCTGTACGACAAGTGATACTACATAAAAGACAAGCCAATCACTCACTTCCATGTTGCTGTACGACAAGCGATAATACATAAAAGCCAAGCCAATCACTCACTACCATGTTGCTGTACGACAAGAATGTTTTGAAATATCAATTTGGGCCCGGACAGTTTCGGCCAATGATACCGTGGCAAGTTCGGCCCAAGTAACACATAAAAAATCGTAGAATTGGCTGTAAAATCTGACGTTGCATGCTTTATGACTACATAATTAAGCTGATTCCAATGGTGGGCAAACTTACGGCCATCCGATCTTCCAACAGGATAGTTAAATAATGTTCAAAAACGGACGTGCTGCCATACTTACTAGAACGGACTTAAATAAAAAAAAAAGGCCGAACTTGCCCCGGTCTTCCTATTGTTATGTCGGTCTTAATCTCATTAGAGTTTTGTTTTATTGTTATTCCTCGACTAGCCCACTTTAAATAAAGTTTATCTTATCTCATTCTGAAAGTTGTATTCTGAATCAGTAAATATCATAGATCAACAAAAGCTACGTTCTTTTAAGGCTTTGCCTTTTCATATCAACCTGACATACCGTGATATAATATAATCATTACCTAACACGCATACATACTATCTCTCATTCCCTTACACATATGCATACAGCCATGATATACCTAATAGAGTATACTGATTTTCCTAACACACATTTAATAACATGTATTAACATTTTTTTTTATAAAACGTGACTAATGACATATGTATTCCAAAAGTTGTAATACCAGGCCGAAGTAGTCGATAAGCGAGGTACCTTCTTCTTGTATCGATCTCGGCCTACACCTACGACCAAACATGGCTTGACCGGTGTTTGGTTCATCCACGACTCATAGTCCCTATAAGACTAAAAGGTAAGATGCGTATAGTGTACTAACACTTAATACCGCTTTATGGAACTTAGAATACAATATATTGTAATAACAATGTAGGACTACAGTGCTTACCCGATATTTAGGTCGGGAAGCCATGCAACGATAGCGACCACGTGAAGCGTAACGCCGTGACATATATTTTATATTGCTCTGCGTAGCATTAGTTTTACATTGCATGCACTGGAATAGAAAGTGACGTTAGTTATATACCAACAAATGCAATTTCATTTTAACATTTAATTTTTAAATTCATTTTAAGTGTTATTACATTCTTGTTGTCTGTTTATGGTTTGTTTTGTTAAAAATAGCATGCGTTAGATAAAGGTCTTACAATGTGTGTTTGTTTACTTTTTCAGACCACAAGTACGCAGTAGGTCTAGACTTCATTGACGTTGTGATGAGATATTCATGTTGTGAATTTACAGACACAATATTGCAGAATTAGCTTTGGATTGTATTCCCTCCCGAATCTTGATTTATACCAAGAAGGACACAAACAGTTTCAAGAATGTTTGGACAAGGTGATTTGTTGTATTCCTTAATTTTGATGGCCATGTATATATATTTCTTTTTTTAGAATATTTCCTATACTGATATTCTTAATTTTTTGATCGCTTACATAGTATCCTTTGTATATCGCAAAACCAATATATGATAGCAAATAATTAATTTTAATATATTTCTCATAATCATTTTGTAACCTAAGACTATATTATGAAATGTAAGGATATTTTTTATTATATCCAAGTGCTTTGAACAAATTGTCAACATATTCTAAAAAAAAATCAAGGTACTTGCATTTTGTGAAACAAATGCGTTTCAAAGTGGAGTGTCTTTAACTTCCATTTGTACATTATATAATTATTGGTTAAAATCCTGTGGATCATTTTCCATCGGAACATCAAAATAGCTGTAAAGTGATATCAGGATGTATAAAGCACAGGGAAATTGTAATATATCAATTACCTGCCACGCCACCTGCAATTTAAGATATATGGTCTTGAGGTACTTGCTAGTTTCATTTGGTTGCAGCTACGTTATTTGACAAGGGAAATGTCGTCAGTTTTATGACCAGCTTTGAGTTTTGTTATCTTTTAATGTTATCTTGACAGTCTATTAAAATGATAGCATAACAAGAGTGGTGTTTCTTTCTGTCTTAAGATATTTGGGTTGCCAATTAATTGTTTGTTCATATGTTCGGATAGGAAATACTTTTACTAGACAAATATCCAGGAATGCTAATCACTTAAAGCTGTAGACAACGGTGCTTGTTTAACTAAACTTTAATACATACCATACGCTGTCACATAATGATGAACATCTAAAGCTGTAGACAGCGGTGCTTGTTTAAGGGTGTACGTACACCTCTGAGAAGTAAAAAAAATATCTTGTATTGAACTTTTTTTTCTTATATGGATTTTTTGAAAACGGAGCTAAAGGCATAGTAGAAAATGCAAAAAAAATATATGTCCGTGAGTTCGTTTTTGTGCTATGATCGGTCAAAGATACCAATTTAACACAACATGTGATTTTAGGTGATTTTTCGGGTTTTGATCATTTGCAGAACAAATTCATACAATTTCTTCTAAGTGTGTTATCAGATATGTATGAATGTTTGAAGAATTGATGAAAATATTGTTTTCCTTTAAATTATGGAAGTAAAATAACTTAATCTTATTCTTTTAACTCAGAAAGCCGATTTTAGTTATCCTTACCCCCTATTTTTTAATGAAAAAATACTATTTTTTTACCATTATTTTGCAGATTAAACGCTTGATATAAAAAGTTCTGCTATTAAACTTTTTTAAATATTCACTGAATTAAATGAACATGTGTTTCTCTTTCTAAAACATCTACAAAAAAATGGGGGGTCTGCGTGCTTTTGTTTTTGTCCCATTATCATTTGTGTTATTTTTTTTTTTACCTTTTTCGGGGTGTAAAAAAGAGTGTAATTTTTCAGTTTATTGCATATTATTTTTATCATATTCAAAATTATAAAGTTGTATAGGAAAATTGAACCTGCTACAATTAAAAATGGCGACACAATGACAATTTAAGTGATTAATCTTGTGTCATAAAAGGTGAAATTTTGGCCTTTTTTGAAACGCAAGTGATACACATTAATACACATTTTCAAAATGGCCGCCGAATTGGTATTTTTTTTAAATTCTTGTAAAAAAATGTCTACATACAACAGTCATCTACTTATTTGACATATTTTTCAGATGTGTGTTTGCTAATAAACTTAATCATAATTTGATAATATTACAAAACCCCATTACACCAGATCAAAACGAGACTTGAACGTGATTGAAACTCAGAAGACTACATCCTTAACTGAACTACAATATATATCATACACTGTCTCACAATGATAAACATCTAAAGCTGTTAACAGCGGTGCTTTTTTAACTGAAATATTATATATATCATAATCTGTCACACAATAATAAATATCTAAAGCTGTAGACAGCGGTGCTTGTTTAACTTAACTATAATATATATAATCTCTCACACAATGATAAACATCTAAAGCTGTTAACAGCGGTGCTTGTTTAACTGAACTATTAAATATATCATAATCTGTCACACAATGATAAACATCTAAAGCTGTAGACAGCGGTGCTTGTTTAACTGAACTATAATATATACCATAATCTGTCACACAATGATAAACATCTAAAGCTGTAGACAGCGGTGCTGATGTAACTGAAATATTATATATATCATAATCTGTCACACAATGATAAACATCTAAAGCTGTAAACAGCGGTGCTGATTTAATTGAAATATTATATATATCATAATCTGTCACATAATGATAAACATCTAAAACAGTAGACAGCGGTGCTTGTTTAACTGAACTATAATATATATCTGAAACTGACCCATAATGATAAACATCTAAAGCTGTAGACAGAGGTGCTTATTAACTGAACTATTATATATATCATAAACTGTCACATAATGATGAATACCATGGACGTCCAATCAGTGTAATTATGACATACATATATACTTAAAACGACTTCAGATTTACGATTTATTTGAAAGGATTTCTGCACATATACATCTTTTTCTCCAAAATTCAAAATCTGCTTCTGTTGACAAAGAAATGATACACTTTATATAAATTCTTCACAAGTTTAAATGATATGGGATAGATACTTTTAGAACTGTGAACTTCATTATCCCATGGTCTTTCCTATCCCAAATACGGAAAAGAGTAATGTTTACAACAGTTAACATAAGGTCACTGTGTTTATTATAAGTGAGTAAAAGGGAGACTGGTTGGAGAAAGAAACCCGATGTTTGCACTTCCCTTTTAAAGCCTATAATATTTGCTCACAGTAAAGCAATAAAGGTAGCAAAACTAACCCATATTATGACATTTACCTACAATAGGATAATATTGGTCATCTCATAATCAAATTCTAGTGTTTCTTGTTCATACATATGAAACTACATTCTATTTTTAAACATGATTTAACATATGTAGTTCAGCAAGTTCTCAGAAAGCAATGCTTTCATTTAGTTTCCATAAAGGTATATTACAACATCAATCTTTTGACTGTGTAAAAGTTTAAGATAAGAAAGTTAACTTGATTTTATTATTATTGTTATATTTTTGATTTTGATAAATCGTTTTCCTTATTTATACGCAATATTATTGCTTCTATGTGTAAAAGAAAACTATCTGATCTGATATATTCACAGTGATTTTGATGGTTGCCACAATACAGACAATATGTGGACATTTACATATACAACATCACTCAGAGGGACCGACAAATAGCCCTATCCTGGCCTCGAGCACCAATATACTAACCAGTATAGCCTGTGCCAATGATGTGAGATGTCATTGTAAAGCTTCAGCCAGCGGTGGTGTAGTAGCGGATTGCTCAAACTCGAAAATTTCTGTTATACCCTATTTCAATGCCACTGTCCCTACGATAATACTACGAAGGAACAATATTAGATATTTAAAGTTCGACGATAATCAAGTGCTCAGTTCTATTTTGTATCTGGATATTTCTGAGAACAAACTGAAAAAATTATTGGCGATCCATTCCAACCTCTTGATTTGAGTCACAATTTCCTACAATACCCTTCATCGGTATTTTCACAAAATGTGTTTCATGGATTAAAAAGCTTAACATATCTCAATTTAAAGTGTAACAATCACAATGACAGAGTTCGTTCTGATAACCTGACGTATCCAGTGAGTATCGGAAATATAACAACGCTGAAAACTTGTTTACTAGACGGTGTGGATCAAACTGGTTTCACTGGCGATTTCAAGAACCTTACAAACCTAGAATCTCTAGACCTAGAAGGTCACACGGGAGTTTGTATATTACCTATCTTGCGATCTAATTATTTCGAAAATGTATCCTCTATTCAACATCTCAATTTATCTTACTGTAAAATGCGTAGCATTGAAATTGGAACTTTTCGTGTGCTTACAAATCTGTACGCACTGAACATTTCCCACAATGACCGGCTAACCTTCAGCGTTATGTCCAATTTGACTGATGACCTACACGTTGTACCAATCCACACATTAGATATCAACAAGCTCCACTGTGACTATGGACCAGGAATCGCTTTATACGTGCAAGATATAGACAAATTAAACAACCATACGTATTTGACAAATTTGTACATAGACAGCAATAGATTAACTCTAGCAGAGGTCGGCGTGATTCCAAAATTACTGAAAAATGTACGGCTTCTCTCGGTAAAGGAAAATCGGCTACCGTATGGGAACTATATTTTTGAATTAGCCAGCGCTATCAATTTGGAGTTTTTCGACGGAAGTAACCAGTACTCCTCCCATAACCCTATCACCGGTTCGAAGGACTGCAACGACTGGCGGGCACCACCATCCTCAACTGACGATGACTCCTCTACAGATCAGAACGCTGTTCTCGACATTGTTAAGCTATCGGCATTTACTGTTAATCTTCCTCCTAACCTGAAAGAGGTCTTGTTTCATGATAGTGTTTTAGATTATGTAATAACAGGACGTATTCCTTTCGGTCCGAACAACGTGACACGAGTTGACCTCCATAACAACTTATTACATTCCTGGAAAGGTACAACAGGTTTCAAATTTACAACAGGTGAAATATATCGACGGATCAAACAATTATTGTACGTTTATATCAGATGGATTTTTTAACGAATGTCCGAATGTAGAAACCCTCATTATACATGATAATCTGCTGGGGAATGTTTTATATAACGATACGAATGGAAATATTTTCAGACACCTTACGCATTTAAAAGTGTTGGATTTATCTTGGAATCGTATACAGGCAGTTCCGAACCTTTTGCTTAAGAATCAAAACGAACTCCAAATACTGAACATTAGTAATAATGAACTTAACACATTCGACCTTGAGCTCAAACACATGACAAATTTGCAACACTTAAACATCTCTCACAATCAACTATATAAACTAAGCAAGTATGATCGCGTTCAGATAGATAGCCTTAAGCGGTCAAATCTGACAGTGAACTTGTATGGAAATCAACTTCAGTGTTCGTGTGAAACTCTTGATTTTTTAAAGTGGCTAGACGACAATAAGGCAATGTTTGACAAATTCCGGAACTACGAATGTCGATTCCCAAATGACACAAGTACAACATTCAGGAATTTCGAAAACATTTTGATTGAGTTGAAAAAGTCCTGTTATGATTACACCGGACTGATAGCAGGGATAACGTCTGCTATCGTTCTGGCTATCTCTTTGACCGTCTCAGGAATTGTTTACCGCTATCGATGGAAATTAAGATATTTGTTTTACATGGCAAAAACAAAATACAAGGGATACACAGGTTTGGAGACCCACAATGATGAACGAGATGATTACCCATATGGCGCCTTCATTTCGTACTGTGAACAGGACGGGCGGTTTGTCAGGGGTGACTTATTACACCACCTAGAGGGACGAAGTGGTTTAACACTCTGTCTGCATCAACGTGATTTCATTCCGGGACAAGACATAGCAGAGAATATTACAAAGGCAATACACCAGAGCTGGAAAACAGTGGTAATTGTATCTAACAACTATCTTAAGTCATACTGGTGTATGTACGAATTCAACATAGCTCGTATGGAAAGTATCTACTCAAGGGGAGGCAAGTCTGTTTTACTGTTGGTATTCTATGAAGATATAGCAGCGAAAGAGCTGCCGTTGACACTGATGGATCTGATAGAAAGCAAATGTTACGTTGAGTATCCGCACGACGAGCAAAGGTAACGTTGTCTTCTGGGATAAGTTGACTGAGACTGTCTCAATGTAAGTATATGACATATCACGTGTACTTGTCTTTTCCTTGTGTTTATCTTTTGGTTTAAATTGTCTGAGACTGTCTCAAAATGAGTATATGACATATCACGTGTACTTGTCTTTTCCTTGTATTTATCTTTTGGGATAAATTGGCTGAGACTGTCTCAATGTGAGTATATGACATATCATGTGTACTTGACTTTTCCTTGTATCAATCTTCTGGGATAGATTGGCTGAGACTGTCTCGATGTAAACATGTGGCATGTCACGTGCACTTGACTTTTCCTTGTACAGTCAAACCTGATTAAGCGGTCACCTGAAAGCCACCTCCTGTATGTGGTCAGTTTGTGGTTCGCCCGATAGAAAAACACTTTATAATGAACCTGAAATAAGCAGTCACCTGTCTAATGCGGCCAGCGGTCACAAAACTCTGGCCCGAGGCGTTATCTCAACCTGTATTCAGTGGTCATATTGTCCAGAAATTGACATCAAGAAGATCCCAATATATTAACAAGAACACATCTCAATAGAGCAAAGCTAATTACAATGTGTAATTGAAACCATAGGTAAGGTTTGATACGTTGAACTGACAAGTTGTGTACACAGCGATTTTCAGCTTGCAAATTAATGTTTTACAAACAAAACAATAAATCCCACCTTGTGTACTCAATCAACTTGTGATTTGCAAAACAAGTATGATCGTATGGGGTACATTTTTTGTATCTGTACATACTGTATCCAAAGCTACTTAGGCCTAATATGTTATGTGATCAAAACGATTGCCGCTATATTGCATGCTGAAAACATCTGCTTCCGGTCTGCCAGTCACTATTTTTATATCAACGAAACACACATCATGTCAAAAGCATAAAGTTCACAATGCAGACACTGTATCAGATTATTTTTTCATTACTATGTCCTGATTTATTTCTATAATATATTTATTTGGTTTGTAATAGCTGTGCGATATCAGGACATTAGTGTTAACCTTTCCATACGGCGCATGCATGGGCGCTGTGAATAAACCGTTCAGCTAAGTTGAAAGCTCAAAAATTCTTGCAAAGTTCTAGATTGTATATATCTCCTGGCATAAATTGGCTGAGACTGTTTCAATGTAAGCCTACTTGCCACAAGTTACAGAAATTACTGAGGTCGATTAAGTGTATCCAACATTGAGTGAATATCATGTCGTAATCGCAGAAATAAATACCATTGAATGATACTATCTTTAAATGTTATTTTCAACCTCTCATTAAACTAAACTTTTAACATTCAGAATATCACTAAGAGTTTTGTATACAAAATATCATAATAATAAATTTGCATGCACATTTCTTTGTAGTGTGATAGAAAACAGTTACAGATATAGTATAAAATTTAGAAGTCAACAGGAGAAAATATTCATCAAATGAATTTCAGGTATCAGTATAACAATTCCTTATATATTATTCTACTTTCATTTTATATATCTAGTGCTAGTAGTGTTTTAATGTTCAGTTTGCTCCTGGACATCATGCCATTGCCTTTTTTACTTTTACATTCATCCTTGTTTATCGATTGAAGTAAACAGTTACATGCAACACAGTGACATACATTAGGCAGCAAGTAAGGACTATTAGCATATAAAATGACCCATACAAAAGGTCAGTGTTACATATCTTACACCTTTGTGAAGGACCCTGACCTGGCTTGAGGGTATCAAAGAAAGACCGTCACACCAATATTGCTTCTACAAATAAAAAATAATAATTCATTAAATAAATACATAGGAGACCTTTTTAGAGACATTAAATGATCAACTATAATAAAGCATTATACCTGATGTGAAATGTGATTCAATCTGTGACGCAGTAGATAAGAAGGCCCTAGCAACGGTTGACAGTACATTCAGTGGTAGTTAATGTGTTTTGCGATTTTCTAGAGTGATTCAGTTTGCTGGAGTCTTGACATATTACACAATTCTATTGTTTAGGACGTCTAGAGTGATTGAGTTTGATGAAGTCATGACATATTAAACAATTCTATTGTTTAGGACGACTATAGTGATTGAGTTTGCTGAAGTCATGACATATTACACAATTCTATTGTTTAGGACGGCTAGAGTGATTGAGTTTGATGAAGTCATGACATATTAAACAATTCTATTGTTTAGGACGTCTAGAGTGATTGAGTTTGCTGAAGTCATGACATATAACACAATTCTATTGTTTAGAACGTCTGTAGTGATTGAGTTTGCTGGAGTCTTGACATATTACACAATTCTATTGTTTAGGACGTCTAGAGTGATTGAGTTTGCTGAAGTCATGACATATTAAACAATTCTATTGTTTAGGACGACTATAGTGATTGCGTTTGCTGGAATCCTGACATATTAAACAATTCTATTGTTTAGGACGTCTAGAGTGATTGAGTTTGCTTAAGGCCTGACATATTAAAAAATTCTATTGTTTAGCACGTCTCGAGTGATGGAGTTTGATGAAGTCATGACATATTAAACAATTCTATTGTTTAGGTCGTCTAGAGTGATTGAGTTTGCTTAAGGACTGACATATTAAAAAATTCTATTGTTTAGCACGTCTCGCGTGATGGAGTTTGATGAAGTCATGACATATTAAACAATTCTATTGTTTATGTCGTCTAGAGTGATTGAGTTTGCTTAAGGCCTGACATATTAAACAATTCTATTGTTTATGTCGTCTAGAGTGATTGAGTTTGCTTAATGCCTGACATATTAAAAAATTCTATGGTTTAGCACGTCTCGAGTGATGGAGTTTGCTGAAGTCATGACATATTTAACAGTTCTATTGTTTAAGACGTCAAGAGTGATTGAGTTTGTTGGAGTCCTGACATTTTTAACAAATCTATTGTTTATGACGTCTAGAGTGAATGAGTTTGCTGGAGGCCTGATATATCAAACAATTCTATTGTTTAGGACGTCTAGAGTGATTGCGTTTGGTGGAATCCTGACATATTAAACAATTCTATTGTTTAGGACGTCTAGAGTCATTGAGTTTGCTGGAGGTCTGACATATTAAAAAATTCTATTGTTTAGCACGTCTCGAGTGATGGAGTTTGCTGAAGTCATGACATATTGAACAATTCTATTGTTTAGGTCGTCTAGAGTGATTGAGTTTGCTGGAATCCTGACATATTAAACAATTCTATTGTTTACGACGTCTAGAGTGATGGAGTTTGCTGAAGTCATGACATATTTAACAGTTCTATTGTTTAAGACTTCTTCAGGGATTGAGTTTGCTGGAGTCCTGACGTATTACACAAATCTATTGCTTAGGACGTCTAGAGTGATTGAGTTTGCTGAAGTCATGACATATCACACAATTCTATTGTTTAGGACGTCTAGAGTGATGGAGTTTGCTGAAGTCATGACATATTTAACAGTTCTATTGTTTAAGACTTCTTCAGGGATTGAGTTTGCTGGAGTCCTGACGTATTACACAAATCTATTGTTTAGGACGTCTAGAGTGATTGAGTTTGCTGAAGTCATGACATATTACACAATTCTATTGTTTAGGACGTCTAGAGTGATTGAGTTTGCTGGAATCCTGACATATTAAACAATTCTATTGTTTAGGACGTCTAGAGTGATGGAGTTTGCTGAAGTCATGACATACTTAACAAATCTATTGTTTAGGACGTCTAGAGTGATTGAGTTTGCTGGAGTCCTGACGTATTTCACAGTTCTATTGTTTATGTCAGCTGAATGACAATGGCAAAAGTCGAATATTTGAAGTCTTTTCGCGATAACTGGATATTGGTAGTTAAGGAGATGAGACCCCAACAGTAAAAACATTGAACTCCTGGTATGGGGCTCAGTGATAGATTGAAACCACTTGCCTTAGTGAATCAATGTTTGTTACAGACACATGGAAATCTCAATACCTAACTCCCTAGGTAGAGTGGCATTGTTTGGGTTAACAATTTCGCCTCGGATGGTAGTGATACCTTTGTGATGATTAAGACTCTGTCACTCATTGTTTGTATATATGTTATATTTACACATCAAAACATATTACATGATTCGTCCTCATTATCAAAAGTGGAGAACAAATAATCTAAACTGCAAAGCACTTTGTTTCAATATACTAATCAAATGAAACGTTTAAATGGTAATAAATGTACGTGTTGTTATTTGTAAATGTGCGATTGTTAATGATGCTAGTTTAATTGATGGTAGTTATGAAAAACTGTAACTTTTTATTAATGGTACATTTTGGAATTATGCTAATTATGGTAATTATGTAACTGTAATTATGTAATTGGTAGTACATGCAATTGTGTAATCGATGCTTGCTGTGTAGTTATTGAAAAGTGTTACTGATGAAAAGTTATTGGTACTGGTTACTTTGAAGTTAAGATTTATTTTTTAAACTTAAAACCTTTACTATTTTCTATCTAAAAATATCTATACTAAATGATAAATTATATCACAGAATATCACGATAGGGATTGCTAGTCTAAAATCTACAAAAGAAGTGGCACACTATCGAAGAAATAGGACAAAAGGACCATGTAATAAACTAAAAGTAAGAAATAATTAAAGGTCTGAGCCATAAACTACAATTATTAAACTTAAAATAATCAATAAAACAGAGGGCCATGCTATAAACAGACTTTGTTTTAACTGTGTTTTTTAGCTGAATTGTAAACTTGTTAATGCCAATATACACAACTTGCCGAAGGTCATATACGTATCCAGTATACATTAATATATTACATGTTGATTCTGCCTAAAACAGATACTAAATGCAATCAGTTCCGAATCAGACATCTTTATTTAAAGTCTTAAGCAAGTTAACATTTGAGCGAATCTTGAGAACCGATGTGGGCAGTTTCCTGTCCTATTTGTTGACCCTTCTTATCAACACAGTAGCACACACTTCCGGTACACTGGATTGGGTGGTAGCTTCCGATCGGAGTACAAAAGAACATCTTGCCCATTATTTGTAGGAGAGAATAGTCATGCTCATCGCGTGCACATGCTGAAATAAACGAATGACATCTGTATTAAAACCTGATCGATCTATTTGTCCCAACGATGTATTTTTTGTCCCAACGATCTATTTGTCCCAACGATGTATTTGTCCCAACGATGTATTTGCATCAATCAAGTCATGATCGATCTAAATATAATTATATTATTTGTGTCAACTATGTGTTTGTATCAATTATATATATTTGTGTCAACAATGTATTTGTAACAATTAAGTCATGGTAGATATACTTGTCAACAATGTATTTACTACTAACCACTAGTAAAAGGACTGTTTGACGAGTAAATATGTATGTTTCTGTATTTCTTATTTACAAATTGCACACTAGAGAATGTATACAGTTCTTCATCATGTTACCTGTCTTAACTGAATCTGTGACTAGTTATTCAGTAACAAAAAACTTTGTAAACAAACTCAAATAAGTGTAGAATCATAGTGAAGCCAAACTAAAGTCTGCCAATACTTACAGCAGTCTGATTGGTATGCCAGGCCGATAGAGAAGTCCTCTGTGATCCTGGTGCCCTGAGCGGACACACAGCGACAGCTGTAAACAAACACGACACAGTCTATTACGTCACAGTGTTACGATAACATGACTGACCATGCAGGACCAGGACATTAATCATTGACATATATACATGGATACTAATTGCACAAATATTATATATTAGACACAGTTACGACAGGAAGTTCATATAGCATATCTTTGAATCACTATACTCAAGTATACAAAATACGCTGTGTTTCTTAATTTGATTCAAAACACTGGAATGTAAGAGAAGAGTATGATCCGTGCTCTGTTCCGGTCAGTATCATCTCAACAGAGAATAACTCCAATCTCTGACAATTAGGCCAATGCGGCTGCAAGGGTCAACCGCCGGCAATGATCAGAAATAGATGTGTATAGATATAGAGAAAATATCAATTATAAAGTCATTCCCAACAATGGGTCCTTACGAGTTAATGAATACAGTAATTTGGGACAAGCGAGTAATTGCAACAGTTCCGACAACTTTATGTTTGTCAAATTTTCAGGGCAATCTAATCGTTTGTCAAGACAAACACGTTACGGTCAACGATGGTAACCTATATTATATATCCCTGTTCCATAATCCCCTTTTCCGTATGTATCCAGTTTGTATATATGTTTATGTATCTATTTAGAATATTTCTATATGATATCATTTGAAATGAAATAGAAAAAAAGTCTTCTATAACTATTTTTAAGCAAAAAGTTATTGCTATATTATGCATGACACAATTTTAAAGTGATATTGATATAATGGCTGCATAGTAGAACAATCTGATGAGAAGTTGTTTGATAATGGAACAAATTGTGGTTTGAGAATGGAACAACCTGTGGTTTGATAACGGACAACCTGTGGTTTGATAGTGGAATAACCTGTGGTTTGATAGTGAAACATCCTGATGAGTAGTGGTTTAATAGTGGAACAAACGGACATGCATGAATATAGTTCCTTATAACATATAACATATACACAAATACACATGGTCTGACATGCACAGATATATTACCATATAACAGATATATTACTATAAAACATAAGCTTTGACACAGGATGTATCACCATAATACTTATCAATATCTCTTTATCGCATGACCTGTCATATACATGTATATATTGCTAAACATCTTACATTGACTGACACTAAAAGGAAACCTAGGTTCTTTTACAATGATTGGTCTCAACACTATTTCGAGCAAGTAGATTCCAGGGATTGGACAAGCCGTACCCCGTCTCCTGTATTCACTAACAGTGCCAGTAAACTTAAAAAAGCCCTTACACAGATCCGCGACACTGACGTGGGGCGTAGGTCCCGTCCTCCAGACACCGGGGTTTCACAGTACCAACAGGAGGCATGCCATTATGTTTCGCTGCAATCAGCGCTACCTCGGCTTCTATGGCGGCAAGCTCGTCTCGGCAACTCATTGGAGGAGGCACTGTTGGGAGATAGTAAGCTTAATTGGTGTTTCATTTAAAGCATATCCTTTGACATTTTACAGATAAAAACCAATGAAATATTTATATAAAGACACTTTATAACAAGGGGACAGTGGAACAAAAAGTACAGGATTGTATTAACTGTTACATTTATAAGAGAATGAAATATTAGCTTTGCTGTAAAACAAAATACTGACAACTACCAAACAAGCGCGATCTCTTTAAACGTATACGTTAGGATTAACTTGATTATATTTATGATGAGAGTACACTCCAGTTTTTTTGTGTTATAGCTCCACAATCAAAAGCGACGTTACAGTCAATCAAAAGCGACGTTATAAACGGAGGCGTAATTTTTTACGAAATGGAAATGATTGTCACAAGCAAGATGAAATTATTTAATTTTAACAGCAAAATGATACGACCGTTATATTGTAAAAATGCAGCTGACACAATTTCATATTGTTACAAAGGAAAAGTAACACTTTTGGTATATTATTTGTTTATCGTTCCATTTCGAACAGACTTTCATTGCTAAGATTTTAAAATGTGGTAGAAGGAAACCTTGGCCCTGAACTTGTATAATAATAATAACACAAAGGCCGAGAACACGTTGATCACTTCAGTAATCCATTACGCCTCTACATCGGTGTATCAAAACTGGCACAAGAGTTGTCAAGAAGCTGGGACAGTGAAGCTCTCGAAAATTACAATCAGCAATACTGAACGCATTAGATAAAGACTTAGGTTGTCTAAGGTCCAACACTAAGTTAATGATAGGTAAACACAAACCAGAGGCAAAGGCGATGTCGATGACAAGGAGGAGGACAAGCATGGCAATCTTCATCCTGTATGTTAGCGCTCGTGCTTCTGTCTCGACGTGTGGTGAGTGATGCTGAGGCTGGGAGAACACCTTTATATACAGACTGACATGTGATCACATCGTCCGGTCACGTCAAACACCTGTTAATGTGGTAGATGTATGTCAAGGTCGTCAGCGTAGCCTCTGGTCTAACGGTCGTCACAGCAGCTTGACCATTTACGTACGTGGACGTAGTAAAGATAAACACATGTTGCCGGTACTCTGACGAATGTGACAAAGAATGACATGACATCGGCATGAAATTTTTGTTTAGAGAGACAGCAACATTTCTACCAAAAAACGATGATAACATTCTATTTATATTCAAGATTACATCACTCCAACAATACCATTTCAAAGGAAATGCCTCCACAAACATTATAAAACATTTCTACTAACATTCAGAGATCCACTACCAAATATTCAAAGGGACTTTCTACCTAACATTCATCAAAATTTCCTTCCTTACATCCCTACTAACCCCCTACCTAACATTCATGATAACTTCCTTCCTTAAATCCAAGCTAGCCCCTACCTAACATTCAAGATGACCTCCTTCCTTTCATCCCAGCATCCCAGCTAACCCCCTACCTAACATTCGTCATAAACTCCTTCCTTACGTCTCTGCTAACCCCATACCTAACATTCATCATAACCTCCTTCCTTACAACCCAGCAAACCCCATACTTAACATTCATGAACACTTTTTTTCTCATATCCCAGCAAACCCCCCTACCTAACATTCATGATAACTTCCTCCCTTACATCTCAGCTAACCCCCTACCTCACGTTCATCATAACCTCCTTCCTTACATCTCTGCTAACCCCATACCTAACATTCATCATAACCTCCTTCCTTACAACCCTTACATCCCTTACATCCCTGCTAACTCTCTACCTAACGTTCATCATAACCTCCTTCCTTACATCCCAGCTAACCCCCTACATAACATTCATGATTATACCTTCCCTTACATCCCTTACATCCCTGCTAACCCTCTACCTAACATTCCTCATAGTTTCCTTGCTTACATCTCTGCTAACCCCCTAGCAAACATTAGTGATTACCCCCCCCCCCCTTACATCCTTTACATCCCTGCTAACTCTCTACCTAACATTCATCATAACTTCCTTACTTACATCCCTGCTAACCCCCTACTTAACATTTATGATAACTTCCTTGCTTACATCCCAGCTAACCCCCACCCTAACATTCACGAGTACCCCTTCCTTTACATCCCAGGTAACCCCCACCCTAACATTCATCATAAACTCCCCTTCCTTTACATCTCAGCTAACCCCTTAGCTAACATCCATGATTACCCCTTCCCAAACATCCCAGCTAACCCCCTACCTAACATTCATGATAACCTCCCCCTTACATCCCTTCTAACCACCACCCTAACATTCATGATTACCTCCCTATTACATCCCTTCTAACCCTCTACCTAACATTCATGATTACCTCCCCCCTTACATCCCTGCTAACCACCACCATAACATTCATGATAACCTCCTCCCTTACATCCCCGCTAACCCCCTACCTAACATGCATGATAGCTGCCTTGCATACATCCCAGCTAACGCCCACCCTAACATTCATCATAACCTCCTCCCTTACATCCCTGCTAGCCCCCTAACTAACATTCATGATAACCACCTCTCTTACAACCCAGCTAACTCCCTACCTAACATGCATGATAGCTGCCTTGCATACATCCCAGCTA